TAAAATGAAAAAAAAAATCAATATCCATATCAACATATTGATTTGAGCTACCGGAAACTGTAAAGGAAAATATTTAACAGGAAGCATAGCAAATAACATTCTTTTAAGTGTCTACTTATCTCCTTTCACTGAGATCTGGGAAGTTCTCTCAGCTTAAAGTAAAAAAAAAAAAAAAAAATTGAGTCTACAAATAGTTAAGGGAAACAGCTGCTAACCAGAAAGTTGGGGATTCAAGCCCATCCTGGAGGAAATACTTAGAGATCAACTTTTGAAAGTCAGCCACTGAAAATCCTATGAAAAACACTTCGACTTGGACATACGTAGTGTCATACCGTAAGTCAGAATCTACTCCATGGCAACTAATTTTGGTTATCCAGGACAGTACTCTCATCAAGAAAAAGCAGTGGTAGGCAAAGGAGCTCTGGTAGCGTAGTGGTTACGAATCGGGCTGTGAACCTCAAGGTCAGCAGTTCGAAACTACCAGCTGCTCCGCGGGAGAAAGATGAGGCTTTCTGCTCCCGTAAAGATTCACAGCCTCAGAAACCCTGTTCAGGGTCGCTATGGGTCGGAACCAACTCGACAGTCAAAACCTCAAGTAGAGAAATACAAAGGCAGAACAATATGCATATACAACCCAAATGAAGCCCACTGCCAAAGAATTGATTTCAATTCATAGTAGCCCCATATAGTTTTCAAGGCTGAATGAAAAATCTTCAGAAGAGAGACAACTGCATCTTTCTCCAGGAAACAGCTGGTGGGTTTGATCTGCCAATTTTGGGATTAGCAATCCAATATCTTCCTGAAATGCAGATTTAAAACATTATTATTCCAGGAATTGTTGTTGTTGTTGTTAGGTGCCATCAAGTTGGTTCCAACCCATGGCGACCCTGTATAGGGTTCCAAGGAGTGGCTTAAACCGCCAACCTTGCAGTTCAAAATACCCCTAGTCCTTTTCTCCACATTTCAAATGTTTCTCTAATTCTTATCCACAAAGCCAAAAATAAATAAATAAAAGAGGAAAAGTTTTTAAAGTGCTCGTCAAAAGAAAAAGAAAACTGTACACAAGAAGTACAATTATTCCCTAAAGATTGTAAGAAAACTTAAGTAGGTATTATTAGACACATACACACATCACTTATATAAGGCCCCTGCATGACTATATATGGTGATGGTGGTAGTGGTGGTGGCATACCGTGGAGTCAGTTCTGAGGCAGTAAATCTTTAAGGGAGTAGAAAGTCTCATTTCTTTCTCCAATGGAACAGCTCGTAGTTTCGAACTGCTGAACTTGAGGTTAGCAGCCTGACTCATAACCACTATGCCATCAGATCTCCTTTTTGATATTAGATTTATGAAATAAAGCATACAGTCTTATACTTTGTTATAAACAAGGAAATTTACATTACTATATATGAAAGTCTTCAAAATTTCTTGGAAAAACAGAACTAAAAGATTATGTAATTTTTTCCAAAAACTTTTTGAAGTCCCTTCATATATATTTTCAACTTTATTTAGTATACTTATATTTCACTTTTTAAATTATTATTGTTATTATTATTATCAAAGATGCTACTTTGTAAAGGCTGCCCAGAGTTGAGATAACCAGAACTGTTATATTTGGATGATCGTGACTTTTTATTTTAGAGACACTCAATTTAATATTAAAACAAAATCCTTTTGGTTTATGGTTCACACATTCCATAAAATCAAAGGTTATTCAAACAAAGCCAATTCAAACATGATATTACTGTATACTCGTATGAACAAATTTCAGGTTTCTTATATGCACTCGAAGTTCTGATATGGACTCCATATGGCTACAATAATGAGCCCATTACTGAAAGAAGCACTTCAGCAAAATGTATAAACCTGTACAAGAGATTACACATTATGCACTATCAACACACATTATCTTTATCTCCCCAACTATCATGTGTGCCATTTTCATTTAAGAATAATCAAGGAGTAAAGATGAAAAAACTATTCTCATTTTTAAAGCACCTCTTTATATGTATTATAATACTATCAGGTTGACGCACTATATTGGATATAATCTAACTTTAATGTAGTTAAAAATATATTGTGATGGATCATATTGGTTCCCTACAACCGATTACATTCTTAATGCTTTTAAAAAATCTGGATAAAGAAAATTAAACTCGATGCATATTTTCCTATATAATAATTGAGAAAAATCTTCCATTGTCTAATTAATACATGTCTCAGGAGGAAAATCTTTATTTCTCAAGTATAAAACTTTGTCTATAGTTTTCAAGTCACTTATTATTTATTCTATGTAGATCCTTACAGGGTTGGGATACTGAAAAATCATAAATAATATTAGCACATATCTTTTATGAGGAAGCAAAACTCTTAACATTTTTATGCACTATAAAAATGCACATATAAATAACCAACCAAGCAAATTTCAATGCAAATCTATGTATCATTTGTCACTGAATAAAATTAATTTCTGTGTCTAGCACCAGGATGGTCAGTATATCTTTAAAATGGTACAAGCTTCTCTAAATTTGAAATTCATGGGGTAAATAAGCATAACTTCTAAGAAGGATAATAAGCAAACATAAGTCATAAGATCTTGGCAAAGTAGGAAAGCTTAAGAGGTCCTTCAAACCAACCCATTCACATAGGTGGAAATCCGGTCTCAGTGTGTTGAAACAGCCTAGAGGGCAGTGTTGTCTACAATCCAAATTTTCATCAATGCTCATGGAGTGGCTGCTATTATCATGAAGTAAACCAAAGGCAATCCAATGTCAAATATATGCTTCACATACTAATTTATTAAGAGTATCCAGAGTTCCTTTGCTTTTGACACAGGTGGTATTAAATATATATGTACGTATACATGTATATGCACTCTAAATGTATACGTACATATATAGTAATTTCACACACACAAAAATACATTCTTTTCAGTTTCAATTCCTCAACCAGAACATTTTTTCACTATCATACTATGAATTCTGCTGCATAATTACCCCTATCACAAACTCCCCCCTTAGCCTACAACGTTAAATCCAAACAAAGGTTCTAGGTGTGTCTCTGAGACAGAAGTAGGTAAGTGTAGGAGAGAAGACAGAAGGAAGGAAAGGAGGGAGGGAGTGAAAGTAGGAGAAGAGAAAAAGAGAGGAAGTTGGAGGAGGAAGGGAGGAGAGAAATGATGTTGTGCTGATGCTGTTGCAGCAAGCTGGTTAATTGCATTTGTTTCATATATGTATCTCCGAAAGCCCTGGTACATTAATTACATTCTGTAATGCCAAGCTGTCCTGATGCTCTCTGTCACTTCCACTGAGCAATTTAATTTTATTCCTCCTAGCTACCTACTGATCATTTTTTTTAAAAAGGAGAAAAGAATGAAAAGAAAAACTTGGTGATACTTCTGTAGTCTAATATGTACAATTTATATAGCTATCTCTGGTATTGAGATATGATTTCTGTTGTCATATCTAAAAAGTTATACTAAAGTCTTCTTATCATGACAATGAAACACACTTATTACAAATCTGTAAACTTCTGTGCTATTTTCAATTTGGTAAATTTATTTATAAAGAAAATGCATGGAGATTAAGGATAGATTTTGCCACAGCTGAATTCAGAATGATTACTCCCTGATAGTGCACTACTCAGAAGGTAAAACGAGAGAAGTATTGTGCACACCGGTGGCATGCCTTGTCTATGATCTCCGGGGGTGGGGCAAATATAGTCAAGTGGTATATGATTGAAAACAGCCACCTGACAGTAGGTAAACTTCTGTATTGCCCGAATTTATAGAAAGACTTCCTGTTTGAGACTGATACATTGGATTCTGTGAAGCAGCAGCTTCCAGGAACAAAGTGTCCCAAATAATTAATTCATGCACACTGCAAATGCTGGAAAAAAGTTTATTGAGCAACAAGATATGATTCAAATGTTTGGACCAACACACCTCAGGTTTTTCACAAATAGATAAAATATCTGAAGTTCTACAATCCTTCTCACTTCAAAAAGATTTATGTGTATTTTCTCTTTACCTTAATATGAAAACTGAAGTCTCTAAAAGGTTAATACCGATTATTCCTTATGCTGTCTTCTTTTGATATCAAGAAGACAGAAAACAAAACAAAACACTAAAACTAAAACATACTAATGAATTAGGTCCACTCTTCATTCAAAAGAGCTGCAAAAAGGATTTTGCTATAGTCTCAGAAGAAACTGACATCCTGTGAAAAATTCCACAGGAAACTAAATCTGGACAAAAGACAGGGGAAATCACAGGCAGAAGGCTGCCTGGTTGACAAACCGATTCAGCCAAGAGGGAGACACCTACAGCACCTGTTTCAAATCCCCATTGTGTTCACCCACTGGGGATTGAACTGAGTGGTCCTAGCCTGCAGCCCGCCCACTGATGATGCTGCCCTCCCCTCTTCCCCTTTCCTGGAGCCTCGACCAATCTTACTTTTGACAGTTTTTTTGTTGTGTGTGTTTTTTGTTTTTTTTCTCCCCTTAGCTCTAAATTCTTCATTCTGATTCCACTTTAGGGGAGAATTCACCAGCATACAGGTGATCCACAAAGATCCCAGATATACACTGTCTCAAATTCCTAACCAATTATACCTTTGCTGAAATATCTATTCCTCTACTTCTCTTGAATTTATTTCTAATACAAAGTTCAGGCTTGGTAGCAAACAACAAGAGAGCAGGTTCTTACGAGATTTAAGTTAATATTTCTTTTTTTAAAAAATTGGCTGCTCAATATTTATTATCCAAGTTGTCAATTAATTAGTAAATTACAACAGCAACAAACACAGCAAACGATGACTACTAACATGTTCCACTTGAAGCAGTTACAGAAACAAAAGATTTAAAAGGTTTGCTCCCATAGAACCCCCATGTCTGGCCAGGATGGATTTAAGGACACCCATGTCAGTTTATCTGTAATCCACACCTGACTCAGAAAAAGGTACTTTTTGGTGAAAATTTGATAAAAGCATTTTTAACTTACCATCAATCCGAGCATATAAAAATCCACAGAGCAGTAGTTGTGTAAACATCAGCAGACCCATTTTGACATATTATAAAGATCCAGATTGTTAAGAAACCAATCCCAGAGAGAGCAAAAGTACAAAAATAAGTATATTATAAAATGACAAAAACAAAGAGGTAGGTCCAAAGTTTAGACTTTCCAAACGCTAATTAAAGTGTAGAAGAGTAAATCTTAAGAGCAAAAGGGATTGGTGGGAAGGTCTTGAATGGGACACATTTAGATCCATCCACTTTAGCAGAGGGTACTCCAAAGACTGTCGTATTTCCACATTTAGGCTTCTTAAATTCTCACAAATTCAGCCCAGTTGGGCGGATTATTCAAGTGTATCTAACCCTCTCTCCGTCTCCTCTACAATCCAAAGCCAAGTTCTTTCTTCAAGAGTCGAAAAGATGAAGAGGGAGGAAAAAGATCTAATTCCTAGAAAGTGTTGCACAAACTTGCCAGCATGCCACCGAAAAACCATTGATTTGGTGTTCTTTCCCCAGGATCTTCTCCTCCGTAGCAGCTCCAAGTCCAGAGTTTTTTCACTTAACTTCCATAATAAGGATGTGTCAAAGCAACACTTTGCAGGCGAACAGACTTGGCGGACCTCTCCTTCGCAGCCTTTTTGACTCCCTTCACCTCTCTCGTTTCCAAAAGAGAGGAAAGGGGAAATCAGGATGACTTGGGTGGAGAATCCGAACTCTTGCGAGGTGGGGCTGAAGGGAAGGCGGGAGAGAGGAGACGAGGGAGGGAGGGAGAGGCTGGGTTTAGTCTGCGGCCACCCCGGGAGAGCAGCCTCTGTGGATTATGAGCCCGGATGGCTTTGGGGGAGAGCAGAGCCGGCGTGGGAGCCCGGGCGCCCGGGAGCTGAAGAGAAACGGAGCGTACGATCCAGCCGTCAGTCGCGGTCCCCAAGCCGTCGCCGCTGCCGCTGCCGCTGCCGCTGCTCTGGCGGCCACACAGCGCAGCATCCGCCTCCTCCTGCAGCTGCCGCGGGTGGAAGGACTTAGAGGAGGGAAGGCGAGGAGGCGGGAGGGGAGGGGAGGAATGAAAGCTGCTTGGAGTCTGCCCTGGGGAGGGGGGCAGGGGGAATGTGGGGGTTTGCTGAATCCTCCACCTACGGACTCCGTCACCCGCCCGCGCCAGGAGCGCCCTAGCGCAAAGGGGTAAGAGCGGAGAGTCCAAAGGGGAGGAAAATGAACAAATTTTGGGCCCGCTCGGCTGCAAAGGGCCGAAGCTACGGGTCAACTCCTTCCCTTTCCAAGCTCCTCCTCGCTCCCCCTTCCCGCCGCGGGTGGGGATAGGTGGGCTCTAGGCTCCTGCTCCTCGCCGCGTCCCGTTTAATGTGCAGGTAATTTTCTCGGTGAGTGATTTCATGGAAGCTTTTCCTAATTATTCATCTCTCCGTCAGCCGGAGATGCACGCGCGTGCTAGAAAAAGATCATTCTCCAGGACCCAGGGCGCAGCCTCATTACCCGTTAAAATCACACAAACACTCACTCTTCACCTTTTAGCAAAATGAGAAGCCGAGCGGGAGGAAGAGAAGAAAAGCTCGCAAAATAGAACCACCTTTAAAGCGGAAAGGTTGTGTGTAGGTGTTTCCTATGTCGTTAAAAAGGCACACCAAAACGAGGCGGGGGTGGGGGACCACAGAGGTGTGTACGGAAATCTGTAGCCTCTATCAAGTCCTTTTACCCAAGATCTATGACCCCCCTCAGCGGAATACTCGGGGGAGGGGAGGGGGTGAAGTCCCCTTGCACGTCGTTCTGTTTCCTTGTTGTTGTTAGGTGCCATCGAGTCGAAACCAACTCATAGCGACCTTATGCACAGCAGAACGAAACTCTGCCCGACCCTGGGTCAACCTCACTATCATTGCCACGCTTGAGTCCATTGATGCTGCCACTTGGCCAATACATCTCGCTGGGGGTCTTCCTTTTTTTCTCTGACCCTCCACCCTACCAAACATGATATCCTTCTCCAACGACTGGTCCCTCCTGACAATATGTCCGAAGTATGAGAGACGAAGTTTGGCCATCCTGGCCTACAAGGAGCACTCTGACTTCACTTCTTCCAACACAGATCTGTTGCCTTAAGACCCCTCATAGATGAGTTTGACGCGGGATCGTGGGCTGCAAGGGAGTTCAGCAGAAGATGCTTAGGTTGGGGGCGGGTGTCAGAGAGCTTGAGAGATACTACTTGGAAAGGAAATTCGGAAAATATAATCCCGGATCGAGGAAAACTGAAAAACCAACTGAGCCAACGGAAGCTCAAAAACTATTCAAATTCCAGTCCCCAAAGACAAAAATCTCATTGTGAAATTTAAGACAAAAAAAAAAAAAAAAACCACACCAAGTGAATGTCATTCAGGAATAGGGTGATTGATTAAGGAAGGCCAGGCTAGATCAAAAGATACCGGTGTTTTGGGTGCCACTTGTGCAGCCCAGCCCACGTGTGATCACAGGCTAGCTGGTAGCTGTTTGATGCTTGTTGGGGTGATTAGAAGGCAGGTTATAAGAACTCACGCAGGTCCGCGAAACAAGCTAAATGGTGAATCTTTAGTTCCCCCTACTGGAAAATATTAGTAAAGATTCTCTTCACTTAAGGGAGAGCCTTTTGTTTTGTGGATACATTTTGGTGTGGCTGCTTAATTTAGTGATGCTTTGCATATTATGGGCGTGATAGTGTGTGTTTAAAAAATGGTCAGCGACATTCAAGCAATTTCAAGAGTTTTTCTGCCATCTCAGTATGCTAGAAAATTATGGTAATGAAATAGTCTTGCAAAAGAATAAAAACAAACCACTCTTGTGGAATATTAAGGGTAATTTCAACACACTTTTGATCTACAGTATTTAGGTTAAAGCGCATTAGTGTGCTAAAGTTAAATCACTGGAATTCTCACAGCAGTGATTCTGAATGTGGTATCAGAATTTAGCATGCAGTGGGAAGGAAAGGATTGGAAGTTTAGCTATAAAGAGAAAACAAGTTCATATGCCCTTTTCAGAAGGCCACAATGTCTAAATTTGATATTATGGTCTTTAAAAAAAAAAGTACAATAATTTAATCAAAATTAATTTTATGATTCCTTTAATACAGGAAAACATTTTATAATTTCTTAAAATTTTCATTGTAAGCAACAAGATTAGGTTTAAAAGTAGGTCACATCTGAATAATGTACCACCACCCCCAACTCTATATAAGTAAAAATTCCTTACACTGGAGCAATAAAATCAGGAAATCATGCAAATATGTTGTTGTTAAGTACCTCCAGTCGGTTCTAACTCATAGTGACCCTGTATAGAGTTTCCTAGAAGCAACTAGCTGGTGGGTTTGAATCACCAACCTTGTGGTTAGCAGTCCAGTGCTTATCCTATAGTGCAATACCAGGACTCCCATATAAGCATGTTGTTGTTGTTAAGTGTCATCCAATCAGTTACTCACAGTGACCCTGTATAGAGTCAGCTGGTGGGTTTGATCTGCCGATCTTGTGGTTCACAGTTGAATGCTTATCCTGTAATGAAATACAAGAAGTTCACAGAAGCATATGTTGCTATTGTTAAATGCCATCAGGTTGATTCCAACTCACAGCAACCCTGTAAAGGGTTCTCATGAAGTGGCTGCTGAGTTTGAACCACTGATCTTGTGGTTTAAATCCACATTGCAGTCTAGCACTTTATCCCACAGCACCACGCTGGGACACAATAGATGCATATAAGCCCTTTAATTAGAACATTAGAGTTTTCTCATGGCTATTTATTTACTGAGAAAAGGATAGATTTTGTATTATATTTGATAGATTCACCTTTTCTAAAAGTGGCCTGAAAGTCTCTCAAGTCAAGTCTTGAATAAATAATTAACCTATTATTTAAATAGGGAACAAAAGAGCAGCACAAGCAGAGGAAAATATATTGACATTGTGATTCAGTAAAGACACCTGAATGTTAGTATTAGAGCTGAAAGTAACTTTTAAAAGCAAGGCACCATTTAGTTGCCACAGATATAGCAAATGAGCAGGGCTGTTCTCCTCAAGGTCAGCAGTTTGAAACTACCAGCTGTTCTATAGAAGCAAGATGAGGCTTTCTGCTCCCTGCAAAGATTTACAGTCTTGAAAACCCTATGCAGGGTGGCTATGAGTAGGAAGTGACTCCACAGCACATAACCAACCACCACCCCCTCCGGTGCCTTAAGGGAATCCTGGTGTGGCTTTGCAGGATAATGCTCTGGACCACTGGTCAGTTTGAACTACAAGGTCAGTGGTTCAAACCCACCAAGCTGCTCCTTGGAAACATTAAACAGGGTTGCTATGGATTGAAACTGACTCAGTGGTACTTAACAACAACAATAACATTGGCTTAAGGAGCTCTGGTAGTGTAGTATATATGATTCAGGCTGCTAATTTCAAAATCAGAGTCCTGTTGTGGCTCTGGGGGTTAATGTGCTGGATTGCAAAGTCCTTTGAACCACAAGGTCAGTGATTCAAGCTTACCAGCCGCTCCTTGAAAACCATATACAGGGTCACTATGGGTTTGAACCTACTCAACAGCACTTAACAACAACAGTCTCAAGGTCAGCAGTTTGAAACTACCAGCAATTCCAAGGGAGAGAGATAAAGCTTTCTGTTCCTGTAAAGAAAACCCTACACAGGGTCACTATGAGTTGAAACCAACTCCATAGCACACTGCCACAACCACCACCATTGCATTGAGGGCAGCAAAATTTTAGCCCACAGCTCACAAAACATACCCTTATGCAGAGAGTGACAAATGATCCCATACAGAGAAGAGATTTATTAAAGAGCTGTTTAAATACATTGACTTGGCGTTTTGAGACAAGAAACATCATAATTACTTTACCTACTAAAGTGACAAAGAAAGCCAATAGTTTCAGAGTCATGCCATCTTTTCACTATACACTAGCTACATTATGGACTCAAACATTCCAATATTTGTGAAGATGGTACAGGATGGGATCAAGCATTGTTTCATTTGTTATACAAAAGATGGCCATGAATTAAAGCCATGGCAGCTAAAACCACCACCACCTACATTA